CTTTTCTCTTTCTTTCATCTTTTCCTTCCCTTCCCCTCTTCCTTCCCTTTTCTCCTTCCCATCCCTTCCTCCTTTTCCTTCTTTCCTCTTCTTCCCTTCTCTTACTTCTTCCTCCCTTTTTCTCCTTCCCCTTTATCTTTCTTTCTCCTTCTTTTTCCTTTCTCCTTCCCTTCCCCTCTCTTCCTTCTTCCTTTCCCCTTCCCATCCATTCCTCCTCTTGCCTTCTCTCTTCCCTGTAGAGCTTCACCGTTTTCACTTAGAACTTCACATAACGTGTCCCATTCTGTTTTTCCACATATGTCCATGTTGTTAGAACCGCCTCATGGATCCCTTTACTGAAGATGGAGGTAGAACCATGGTTATTTTTGCACGTTTTCCTCACCGCTACCAGGTAGTCATTTTGAGGATCTCATTATGCTTGACGGGGTTACAAATTATATTTTTAGCCGAGGGAATCCTTGGTGCTCTCTAAGCCGGCTTTTCTGGCAAAGGTTTCATTATCCCAAACCAGGTAACGTATTTTTAGCATTTTGGAGATACTTTTCACCGAAGAAGCCATGTTCCCTCTAGTGGAGAAATAAAGCAGGTGAAGACATCTGCAGAAGGTGGTTTTAACCTTCAGTATTCCTTATCTTTCAGCCCCCGGACGATTCCCTCCTTCCAACGTTTGAAGCGTCTCTGACATTTAAAAGGTCTCCAGTTTTGAGTGGGCCACCTTTAAATGTCTCAGTGGAAGTGAGGCATTAGTTAGTAATCTACCAAATCTTTATTATGGGTCATAGAACCAGCATTTTATCTTTTTGTACTAGCTCGATACCCGTGTTTCACTACGAAACTATGAGGCCAGGCTTAGTTTTGGGGCAGGAAAATAAGAGGGGGAATAATTCTGCCTCTGCCTACCAGCATCCATCAGTATTCATATGGCTAGCGTCCTGTCAGGGGGCTGTTTGGAAACTGAAAGGGTATTTGCTGTGTGAGCAAGGAGACAGCAAGGAGCCTGGGCGTGGCTTAGCTCAACTGTTCTGTACTAAAGCTGCTTGCTTCTGTGAAACTAAGCCTGAAACTGAAACTCCTCTCCTCTGCTTGTGTTTTGCATTTGGAAGAGATTTCTTTCCAGGTGGGGAGGGGGAATAGAACTCCTTAGCATCAGAGCGTGTTAATAATAATAATATAGGAAATACTCTAAATGCTCTGAAGGTCATTTCAAAAAATCCTTTCTTAGTGAGCCCCTAGAAGCCAAGAGGAACATAGGTGCCAAACTTCAAGTTTGTAGGCTTTATGGTTCTGGAGATTTTGTGATGATGCGTGAGGGGTATTTTGCTTTTATACAGATGGATATATAGGTTGTAAAATGGGGCTAAATTCACTTAGCAACTGTCTTGCTTAGCAGTTGAAATGCTGGACTCGTAGGTTGAGCAGCACCTGTATATTAAAACAGATTAAATTGGTTACTGTTATTCTGAGTACTTTGACTGTAATGCAGAGGTAGACTTTAAAATATGATCTGTCTTCTATTCGGCTGGTATAAACATCCAACGGCAGCAGCAAGTGTACAAAATAATTTATTACAGCATTACATTGTTGAACTTTTTACAGTAAAGTTTTCATTCAACTAGCGCTCCTAAGCGAATGACGAAGGAGATCTGTCTTCATGACGTCTTGGTAAAACTTCTCTTTGTAAATTTTGCATAGGACCATCTTAAATATTTACATTATTCAAAAAAAGTTGAAAACAAACTGGTTCCATTGTGGGGTTTTTTTTTTAAACAAAGGTGTTTTTTTTTATACAAGCCACAGTGAATTTTCTTTTTACATTTTCAGGAATAGTTATTTATGTCCTGAAAGGGGGAAGCAGGGGAACATTTAAAACTGAATCAAAATGTTGATATGTTATACGTGAAGTGCAGGTATGTCAACTTATAAAAATTAAACAGGGGAAGAAAGGATGAAATGCAATGTATAATTAAACGAAGTTGTGCTTTAAAGAAAAAATAACCTTATTTAACGTTAACAACTTCACAGCATGTGATAGAACATTATTTTTTTCCCCGACTATTGGTTTTCTGATTCATTTCTCGAACATTTTAATGTAGCTCACCATTATTATCATTATTATTATGATGACCACATTCTCCATTAATTTCCTCCCTTCTGTTTTGGAAGGGAAATGTTTTTAAAATTCCTAAGCAATAAAAAAGGTAACTTAATCGTCATAATGGCAACTTAATGGTATTAAGGGTTTAATGGATCATTGAAAAGAATCATTACGAACCAAAATAATTTACAAGTTTTAAAAAACGACATTCTCCACTTTATAAATCCGAACGCGTCTTTCCGATGAATCAGAATTTCCATACAATACTAGGAAACTGACAAAACTAGCCCGGTACCCATCAGGAGCCATGCTTTGAAAGAAATGGAAAATAATATGTGTAGTTCAGGGTTGTAATGACGGAGTCCTTGGTGCTCTCTGAGGTCGGTGGTTTTCTTGCAGACGTTTTGTGACCCAACTAGGTAATGTCATCAGTGCCAGAAGGGAGTGGGGCTTGTGGAGAGGAGGAGGAGGAGGAGGAGGAGGAGGAGGAGGAGGACAACTGTGGAGTCCTCGGTGCTCTCTGAGCTTGATGGTTTTCTTGCAGACGTTTCATGACCCAACTAGGTAATGTCATCAGTGCCAGAAGGGAGCGGGGTTTTTGCCCTGTGTTTGTGACCTAGTTGGGCAATGAAACAATCCATCTCAGGGAGCACCAAGGACCCCCATGGAAACATAAAACCGATGAAAAACACGTGTGGAGGATATATTTATCCTGGTTTGTTAACGTTCACAGGCAGGACTCTCCGTGGAGGGCGAGAGAGTCAAGATGGCGGCCTCTTCTCAGATTCTCCAAACCAACACGTTTTGGAAGAAATGATCTTATTTATTGACATATTCAATGGAATTTATGGGTCATCGATTCAGAATAGAAAGATTTATAGCTGTACAAAGTATAAACAGGGCCGGTATTATGCAAAAAAAAAAAAAAAGGCTGTTAATATTGGCAGCTCTTCCTGAGGGGAAAAAAGGAACAGATTTGCCTCCAGTTTCCCGGATTGGACAGCTGAGTAGGTTCCGAAGAGATCCGGCTGGAAGATCCCAAAAGATCCCTTGGAGGAGCAAGCCCCGCCTTCTGCTTCAAATCTCATTGGTCAGCGCTTCATGATTGATGGCCATGTGGTTCATGGGGGCAAAGCAACTGTCCTCGTCGCTGCTGGGAGACATGAAGGCTGTCGCTAAAGGGAACATTTTGTGGCACGCGGTCCGATACGCCTCACTCTGGCTGTGGCATTCGCCGAAGGTGCCGTCGCGCAAGAAATCCAACACCATCGTTAAAACCTGCAGATTGAACACATGAGCCGACGCGTCAGAAGCAGAATTCCTCCTCGGGTTTAGGACAGGTTAAGTCCTCGACTTATGACAGTTCGTTTAGTGACTGTCCGAAGTCACCGCGGCACTGAAAGAAGTGACTTAGGACCGTTTTTCACACTTAACGACTGTGGTGCCCCCCCCACCCCCGTCCTCAGGTGATAAAAATTCAGAAGCTTGGCAACTGACTTGTCATTCACTTAACAACCATGACAAGAAAGGTTGCAAAATGGGGGGAGGGGAACTCACTCAACAAATGTCTCGCTTAGTAACACAAATTTCGGGCTCTGTTGCGGCTGTAAGTCGAGGACGACCTGTATCTACGAAGGGAATTGTAAGATCCAAAATGGAAACTGTCTAAACGGAGATATAAGATTATTTGTCAATCGTTTTTTTTCTTTCTTCAGCTTTGTGAGAAGAAAACGCCGAGGGACAAATATGATGAAAAAAGGCGTGGTCGTAAGTCAAGGACTACCTTGTAGAGGAGATGACCAGGCTGACTGAGCCTGAGGGAGGGGTCAAATACGTTATAAGTCACGAATCTCCGCGTGGCCGCAAGAGATCTAACTCCAGCCCACCTTGAGTTCCTTTCTTATCTCCCGCTCATTTTCCTTTGACTGTTAGTTGGCCAGTTTCTTGTAGAGAGCTTGAGCTTGCAATCAATCTTTATACTCATAGTAGCAAAGTACCCGTGCTTCGCTACAAAACTATGTGATTTGGGGGCGGAAAATAAGCGGGGAAAATGTGCCTCTGCCTACCAGCATCCATCGGTATTCATCTGGCTAGCATCCTGTCAGTGTGTGAGAGAGTTGAGGGCTATTTGGAAACTGAAACAGTATTTGCTGTGTGAACAAGGAGACAGCAAGGAGCCTGGGTGTGGCTTAGCTCAATTGTTCTATATTAAAGCTGCTTGGTGGTCTGAAACTGAAACTCCTCTCCATTTGTGTTTTGCATTGGGAAGAGATTTCTTTTCAGGTGGGGAGGGGGAGTAAAACTCCTTAGGATCAGAGCATGTTAATAATAATAATAATAATATAGGAAATTCTAATGCTCTGATGGTCATTTCAAAAATCGTTTCTTAGTGAGCACCTAGAAGCCAAGAGGAACCTATGTGCCAAATTTCAAGTCTGTAGGCTTTACAGTTCTGGAGATTTTGTGATGATGCCTGAGTGGTATTTCACTTTTTTATATATATATATATATATATAGATTTGATCTGCCTGGATCTCATTTTCCTGGTCCCTGAGATTTACTTTTCATCTATAAAATTATCCTGGACACGGAAGCTTGTCCCTACCACCCGAGAGGTCCTTCCTCCAAGCAATCATCAAACATGCATTAAAAGGATGTGCTATTTGGGATCCCCAAGCGATGAAAAAAAAAAAAAGTTATTTTTACCTTCACGTTTCTGTCCCTCATGACTTCATCGAGCCTAGTAGCCATAGCGATTGCCTTCTCCTGCCTTGAATTATCCAGGAAATACATCATTTTGGCACCTCCAAGAGGAAAAATAAAAGCAGCTTATTAAAAGAAAAAGATGTTAAGTTTTATAGGAAGAAAAACCCAGGTTTTTTTTAGCTGCTGCGGAAGCCCATTATACTTTATATTAATCCATTTGGAACAACCACACAGAGGAGTATATTAAGATTTTTTAAAAATGGAAGACGTTCGATCTTCTCTATTCTGCATTGCAGGAATATATTTATTTGCCGGATGCTATTATCACCGTTCTGAAATACGAGCGTCAGATATTTTTATTACATGGAAAAAGACCTTCCCTCCGATGGCATTACTGACCGATCTGTTCCTCTTCTTTTAATGACCCCATAATCCCTTGCAGGGTGGGCGGGGTGGAGTCTGGGCAACTCAATGGAACTAGACGAGTGTTTTACTGGCCGGATGCCCTTCCTGTCGGCAGGGCGGAGTTTTGTTCAGCAGATATATTCCCATCGTGCCCAGAGAAGAGAAATATCTGCCTCTACCTGGGATTCGAACTCACAGCCTGCTCATTGTGAACCTTTAGGCCAACGCACCATTCATATTATTGACTGAAGTTTTTTTGTGTATTTTTTTTTAACAACAAAACATAAACATAAACCAACAAATAAAACCTTCTTTCAACTGTACAGTGTGTTGGGTTGGTGTATATTTCTTGTGTATAATATCTATAGTCGTTTCCTCTTAGATTTAAGTTTACATTCAAATTATATTAATCAACTTTCCATGTCATGTTATATTATTATTACATCATCATTAAACTTTAATTTCAAATCTGCATTGTCCCTTTAGAGCAAATCACAATGCTTAATGATTTTAATTCATATTATAATCCATTTCATAATAATTCATTATAGCATATCATTGCTATCGTATTATACTTCAATTTCCTACTTTTCTATCTAGCCATTGATAAAATAAACCCCATATTTTATAATATTCTTTTTCTTCTGGCTCTCAAATTGCTAATGTTAATCTATTCATCTCTGCACATTCCATTATTTTTCTCCTCTATTGGAATTTTCTCATTTTTCCAATATTTTATTGACCGAATTTTTGAGGTTAGTAAATTAAAAGGCGGTCACAAAAACATAATTTTCCTTCTCTCTCTCTCTCTTTGAATTCATCCAGAAATCATGTAACTTAAATCAAAAGATAATTGAACTTCTTTACCACTCAGTCTAGGCTTGTGACCCTGAATTTTACAATAGATAGTCCTCAACTTACATTTTGTTTAGTGACTGTTTAAAGTTAAAAAAAATGATTTACAACCGTTTTTTACACTTACGACCGTTGCAGCGTAAAATAGGGCAAAATTCACTTAACAAATGTCTCACTTAGCAACATCAATTTTGGGGTCAATTGTGGCCGTAAGTCAAAGACTGCCTGCACAATTAAATGGAAATGAATTTGCAAAACTTTGCTTCATAATTTGAGCGTGTAAGTTTGTGCTGTTGTTCCTATACTCTTGCACACAATTTATGAAATGTAGGTTTGTGAACACATCGGGGTTTAGACACACCTGCCCGTAGTACATACCTGACAGCAGGTGCCGTATGGAGGTAGAATTACGTTTGAGAAATTCTTCGTTGAAACTTTCCAAATCCTTGCTAATAAAAATCTTTTCCATTTCTTGCGTAAGAACCTTGTTCACGATTTCCGGCAAATTACTGTGATTTGACACTAGGAATATAAAAAGGACAACTTTAATCAGGTGTGCTCTTTGATTTTATTTTTGGGAAACTCAGCGGAATTTGACGGCAAGGGGACAGTTTTATTTTGCACTCACCGCACTTGGAAAATTTAATCAAACATTCATGTAGCCAGGGGTTGTTATCACCAATAGCAAAAGCCCTTTTAATGGACTGTAGCATTAGCAGGAATTTTCCTGGATGAAACAGGGAAAAAGAAATCGTAATTTTATTGTTTTAAATAAGGCTAGGCAATTGATACCAATCCCCCACGGAAGGGGGCTTACAACAGGAAAACAGACCCAGGTTGGTCCGTACAGGTAATTGTCAATGTATAATAGTTCTCTAGACAATGTGCAAAGTTACAACGGCACTGAAAAAAGTGATTTATGGCCATTTTTCACATTTACAACCATTGCAGTATTCCCAAGGTCAAATGATGAAAATTCAGACAATTGGCTAATTAGAAAAATGAAGGGTTTTTTGAATCCTTAAAAAAATACTATGATCTATGTAATTCAAATAGTCCAGTTCAACAAGCAGATAGATAGATAGATAGATAGATAGATAGATAGATAGATAGATAGATAGACAGACAGACAGATAGATAGATAGATAGATAAGGGATAGATAGCTGATAGGTAGATAGAGATATAGATGGATGATAGAGGTAGATGATAGATATAGATAGAAGATAGATATAGAATATAGATATAGTGGATGATAGAATATAAATAGAAAATAGACAGACTATAGATAAAATATAGATAGAAGATAGATATAGAATATAGATAGATATAGTGGATAGATGATATAGATGATAGATATAGATATAGTAGACAGATGATAGAATATAAATAGAAGATAGATAGATAGATAGATAGATAGATAGATAGATAGATAGATAGATAGATAGTTAGATAGATAGATAGACAGACAGACAGATAGAAAATAGATGGAAGATAGTTAGAGATAGATAGACAGATTAATAATAGAAGATGGATAGATCTATGATAGATGGATGATGGAGTATAGATATAGATGATAAATAGATGATATATATAGAATATAGATAAAAAGAATATAGATAGGTAGAATATAGATAGAAGGTGGGTAGGTAGGTAGGTAGGCATATAGATATGCAGGCCTGCTTGTTGAACAAGACTGTATAAATTACATAAGATTATAGAAATACTGCACATTACATGGCAACCAAGCATCTTTCTTCAGGATTAATACACTTATGCAGGAAACAAAACATATCTGACTATTATAGCGCTATCTAAAACAGATGTCATGAAACTGATCTAGAACTTCCACCTGTATTCTGTACAGATCATTTCAGTTCCTAAAAAAATTAAACGCACGTTTGGAATGTACAATTGGGAGGTGCACATATCCACTTTACAAAATCATCTCCCAGTCGTGTGTTACAACTGCACGTATTTTACCTTTCCTGAAATATATTTCAAAGGCTAGCAGATGGGTGTCTATGTTGTCGGCTGCGAGATTCTTCAGTGGTATGAGGAACTTAATCGCCTCTTCCAACGGATTTTCCACCTGTCCCAACAACAGGAAACCGAGTAGGTTACAAACCAGAGCACACGAGAAGAATTTCAAGGGGTAAGCTTGTCATAATTTGCTGTGAGAGGGTTTGCGCTTTCCCCCTTTTTTGTAACGTCTGAGTAGCATTACTCCTAGGGTAGAGAGAGGTCAAAGAGTGTGTGTATATATATATATATATATTTGTTTTCGTAGATTTTTACGGGTACAGGTATGCAGGTCTTGGCACGTTTGGGTCTTTTCTCGTGTAAGATTGAGAGCATCTTGGCCACGTTTCGATGAGGTCCCACTCGCCATCTTCAGGCTGGTGCTTTTGGCTTCGTGCTTGTACCTCGCACGAAGCGTTGCCAAGATGTTATTTTCCCACGTCTTAATATTTGTGCTTTTATTATAGCGACATTTCGGCAGAATCTTATCTGCCATCCTCAGGCTTGTGTATTGGGTTCTATTTAATCTTGTGTGTCAGGCTTAGCAGCCAAAACGTCGCTATAATAAAGACACAAATATTAAGACGTGGGAAAATACTCAAAGAAATCTAAATACCATACATACATACATACATACATACATACATACATACATATATATTGAGGAACTTGGAATTAATAACTTAGTATAGAAATATTATATATATATAAAATAACAATTAGAATAAGAATAAGAATCAACAATCTAATTGGAATAGATATGAAAATAAGATCTTAAGATAGGATTATTAATCAAGATATGTAAGTGTCTATGGAAGATATAAGAAATTAATATGTAATGCGGGGAAGAAAATATCAAGTGGAATCTGGTAAGAGAATGTGTGTGTGTGTGTGTGTTTATAGTGAATGATAATACTCTTAATGGATTACATAATTTGCTACTTATTTGTAGAAGGTAATAAAGTATATGAATATAGCAAAAATGATTATAGTTATTTGTTTATATAATTGGCTAAATGAAAATAAGCTGGAAAATATAATTCGTGTAAATGTGATGAAGTTAGAGGGAAAGGTATGCATGAAATATATAGATATGCATAGTGCCTAAAGCAATACTATAAAGGGGATAAAATAATGGACAACTTAAATTAAGATGAATTTATGAATAACTAATGAAATGATATGATTTGATAAAATTGACAAACATGACAAAAATAAGAATATATGGTAAATGAATATAGAGAATGATATAATGTATGAGAATATAAAAAGGAAAATTGGTAACATAATAGGTAATTATTTGAAATTAGAAAAGAAAGCTGTATTTGTGATTATAGTCATGTTTGATTTATAATATAAAAAGCCTGGAACTGCACTGTCCACTTAAATATGTATTTAAAGAAATAAAAATAAAAAAACTACTTGCAAAAAAAAGATGACAACATTCAACTTCTTGCTTCTAATCTACAGATAGGCCTCGACTTACAAAAGTTCGTTTAGTGTCAAAAGTTACAATGGCACTGAAAAAAGAGAGAGAAATGTCTGCCTCTCCCTAGGATCGAACTCACAGCCTCCTGATTGTGAAGTGAGAGCTCCACCTCTAGGCTGCTGCACCACTCAACTTCGGTCACTAAATGAACGCTGAGTAATTATGTTTTTACTGATGAAGACAGATCTCCTGCCTCACCTCCAGGCGGGACGGCGCAGGACGAACAATCTCAGCGGCTTAGACTTACCCTTTCCAGTTTCTCAGGAACTAATTCTTCCTTCGGGCCGCTGGTCTCCTCTTCTTCTTCGTCTCGTTTCTTCTTCTGGCTCTTCTGCTGCCGCTCTCGTTCTGCGTGTTTCTTCTCCTCCTCCAGCTTTGCTTTCTTCTGCGCCCGCCGTTGCTTGCTGAGCATTTTCTTCAGTTCTTTGGCGGAAAGGTTTTCTGTAGAAAACAGATTTTTTTTTAAAAAAAAATGGTTTATCGTTTTGACATAGACTGCTGTGTACGTACGACGTACAACCACAATTGAGGCTTGGCATACGACAACAATGAAGTCCAACCTTTCTGTTGTTAATTGAGACATTTGTTCAGTGAGTTTTACCTGGTTTTATGACCATTCTGGTCATGGTTGTTAAGTGAATCGGGTCAACCTGTAAAACATTCATCTGCCTGTCATGCCCCGTCAGAGTCTGAATCTGAGGAGGAAGACGAACAGCTGACAGGGAGCGGGAGTATGGCTCCTTTAGCTGTGGAGGAAACTGGGGAAGGGCAGAGTCTGGCTGGGCAGAGTAGGGGACAGGGAGAACAAGGGAGAGGGAGTTCAGAGGAAGACCCAGGACCACCCCCTCTTCATCCTAGGGTATGCAGGGAAGAATGGAGAAGGGAGCAACATGGGTTGTGTGGCTTACAGGGGAGGAAAGGGCCCTGATTCCCTTCATTAGCCACACTTGGGAAGAGAGTTTAAAACTGATGTAGGCTGAGTATGGCAGTTTCTGAGAGCAAATGTGAGTTTATTTTGTGTTGACTTTGGTTATCTGTGTTCCTGGCATCCTCCCAACCGTGTTGAGTTACTGCCGTGCCTTTCATGTCTGGAATCCTTGCTCCTGCCCTGCCGAACTAATTACTTCAGTGTGACTTGTTTGGACTTCAAGTTATAGTTTGTGTTTACCCTGTTTTGGACTTGATTCTCTGCAGTCAAAGGCTGTTCCTGGGAGAGTTTTTCTCCAGCCCAGAAGGTAACCAGGACATTGGGGGCAAAGTTGGAGATAATAAAGGGACTCTTATTATCTGACTGTGTTGCCTTTATGCCACACCACTTTGGGTCATCACAATGCCTGTCTCCAAGTTGCCATAAGAAGCCGGGGGGCGGGGAACCCTGAAGGAGAATATGGCAAATGAACTTAGAAGCACATTCCAAGCTTATCTCACAAAGATTGTAACTCAGGCTACTGAGTACTCTGGGCTCGAAAATCCTCTATTGGAGAATGTGATTGATGACACCCAGGTCACGAACGTGTTTCTTTAGACAATCTGAATTATGATGCACCCAGAGGGGTGGGAAGGAAACAGGGTCATAGGTGATCGTAAATTACATATCTCAGAGTCGGCTTCATACAGATCATGCCAGCATGTTGCTCCTAATAAATCCTTTGAAGTTTTTTTTTTTAAGTTTGGCTTGAGGCTCATGATTTAATTTAGGGCGATCGCTGGAACCCTGACAAATCACTGCAGTGGGTAAGTTAGCAGCTTGGTTGTGGTTCTGTCTTCCTTATTGACTCTGCTGTTCAGGTCGCCAAAGGGGATCACGTGACCCTGGGAAACCACTGCAACCGTCATAAGTACACGCCAGTTGCCAAGCCGCTGAATTTTGTTCATGTTTGCACGGGATTGCCGCAACAGCCGTTACGTGGGAAAAGCGGCCACAAGCCGCTTTTCTCAGTGCTGTTGTTAATTTCGAACAATCATGAAATGATCGATTGCAGTATGCCATGTGGTAGGCTTATCTCTTCCACCTGCCATCAGTTCGATCCTGACCGGCTCAAGGTTGACTCAGCCTTCCGTCTTTCTGAGGTCAGTAAAATGAGGAGCCAGACTGTTGAGGGCAAATATGCCGACTTTAGAGAGGAATGTAAAAGCACCATGAGGTGCTATGTAAGTCTAAGTGCTGCTGCTCTTGCAAGTGAAGAGCTACCTGGACTCTTAATTACTAAATAAAGGAGAATATTTGTAACTCTGGGTAGAACTGCGGGTTCCTTGGTGCTCTCTGACCTTGCATGTTTTCTTGCAGACCTTTCATTACCCAATTAGGTAACAGCATCAGTGCTGGAAGGGAGTGGGGTTTGCAGAGAAGAGGAGGAAGAGGTAAAAGAAGAGGAGGAGGAGGAAGAAGAGGAGGAGGAGGAGGAAGAGGAGGAGGAGGAGGAAGAAGAAGAGGAGGAGGGGAACTGTGGAGTCCTTGGTGCTCTCTGAGCGTGGTATTTACCTTGTAGACGTTTCATTACCCAACTAAGTAACATGTTCAGTGTTAGAAGGGAGTGGGGTTTTGGAGAAGAGGAGGAGGAGGTAGAAGAGGAGGAGCAGGGGGAGCAGGGGGGGAAACCGTGGGGTCCTTGGTGCTCTCTTGAGCGTGGTATTTTCCTTGAAGATGTTTCATTACCAAACTAGGTAACTGCATCAGTGCATTGATAAAGGTTACCTGGTTTGGGTAATGAAACGTCTGCAAGAAACCAGCCAAGCTCAGATACTCGGAGTATTCCCAGGACGCTCTCTGCCCTCTAAAAGACCAAACCTAAAAGCACAATGATCTATTCCTGCACCAACCTGAAAGTCTTTTAAATTCAAAACGAAGCGAACGATGACTTTGGCATTCTTAAAGAGCAAACCAGCTTGACTTCCGGAATTCCCCCTTTGGGAAGTGAATTCAAATCCTGTTCGGAGGAAGCTCAAATACCTGAGTTCACTTCTTGCTCTTTGTTCTCGCTGGCCAGGGGGTTGTCGTGCAGCTTCAAGTAAATTTCAATGGCTGATCGCGCCGCCTTGAAATAAAAGGCGTGTTTTCTCAGCACGTCTTCCAACCTCAAGAGGTCGACGTAGGCACGCAAGGTCATCTTCCTCATGCAGTAGGTATGGAAGTCAAACTGGTCATCGGTGATCTCAAAGAAGTGCTGAAATAAGAAGAGAGAACACAGGATAACCGAGTGGGAAGGGGCCTTTGAGATCTTCTAGTCCAACCCCCTGATAAGAATAGAATAGGAATAGAATAGAATACTGGAACAGAATAGAATACTGGAATAGAACAGAATGGAATAGAATGGAATGGAATGGAATGGAACGGAGTAGAGTAGAGTAGAGTAGAGTAGAGTAGAGTAGAGTAAAGTAGAGTAGAGTAGAGTAGAAGGAAGGAGAATAGAATAGAATTTAAAGGGAATGGAATGGAATGGAACAGAGCGGAGCGGAGTAGAGTAGAATAGAGTAGAATAGAATAGAAGGAAGGAAGGTGAGTAGAATAGAATTTAAAGGGAATGGAATGGAATGGAATAGAATAGAATAGAATAGAATAGAATAGAATAGAATAGAATAGAATAGAATAGAATAGAATAGAATAGAATAGAATAGAATAGAATAATGGAATGGAATAGAAAAGAATATTGGAATAGAATATTAGAAAGAATAGAGAAAGAATAGAATAGAAGGAAGAGGGAAGGAAGGAGAATAGAATTTAAATGGAATGGAATGGAATAGAATAGAATAGAATACAACAGAATATTGTAATGAAGAATAGAACAGAGCTGGAAGGGACCTTGGAGGTCTTCTAGTCCAACCCCCTTCTAATAATACTTGAGCTGACCACACGGTGATAGTCTCTGATTCTTTTTCCTTTCTATTTGGGTTTTGTTTTTGTGGCGGGGGTCCTTATAAATTCAGGATCCTTTTCTTGTAGATCCTCTTTGAGCGGTGAGTAATCGAACACACGTCCATTAGGGCAAGTGGTATAATCAGGAGGGGGAAAAAATCCAACCTTTCATCAACTTACCCTCTCAATTTCGTGGCACTGTTTCAACGCTTCCCCGTATTTTCCTAATCTTTGAAAAGCAAGGGCGCATTCCGTCTGAAACCACATACACTGCATTTCATTGAGATTCTCCGTGGCAGAAGTCCCTTCCTGGAAAAAATGAGGAAAGTCTTTTAGAAATAGTCTTCATTTTATTTATCATCTTCTTTTAATGACCCCCAGAATCCCTTGCAGGGTGGAATCTGGGCATCTGAATGGAGTTAGCAGAGTGTTTACTTGCCGGATGCCCTTCCCGTCACCAATGCAAAGTTTTGCTCAGCAGATTTATTCTCCTTGTGCCCAGAGAGGGAAATATTTGCCTCTACCTAGGATTGAACTCGCAGCCTTGTGATTGTGAGGTGAGAGTTTCACCTCTAGGCCACCGCACCGTTCTTTTTAATTCTATTTAAGATATCCTGCAAAAAATACTTCCGTCATCTTGTGCTCCAATAACGTCGTGATCATCCTTATAGTTACAACTAGGTGTGGGATGCTACTGGTTCGGCCCGTCTCTATAGAACCGGTAGCTCTGAAGAGCACCAGACACAGAACCGGTTGTGTGTCTGATGCTGTTTGGCCCACCCACCTGCCCGGGCTCTTACCTGTCCTTTATTTTCCTGCTTTTTCAACCTCAAGTTACTTTGCATGGCACAGCTGAGGTTGAAAAAGCAGGAGAAAAAAGTGGCTTTTCAAACGCCGTGCACCCACACGCAGCGCGGCTCACTTGTCCAGGCGGCACAGGTTAAGGTTTTTTTACATGTGTGCACAATGTGCATTAGGTGCGCGAAGCGTGCACGCTCACACAAAACGCAGTCACCGAACCGGTAGTAACAACCAGTTGAATCCCACCCCTGGTTACAACTCTGTCCATTTTCTAACTTAACAACTGCAGTGATCCACTTAACGGTGGCCAGAAAGGTCGTAAAATGGAGCAAAAGTCACTTCACAACGGTCTCGCTTAACAACAGAAATTTTAGGCTCAATTGTAAGGCGAGGACTACCTGTATTTACAACGCTGTCCTTTTTCTTACGGGAGATTCTTAATATTCTGCAAATTACAATAATACATTTTTCTGCCTTTTTACAAACCACACAGATTATACATCTCACTAGATATTGGCCCATCTACACCAGAGGTGGAATTCAGCAGGTTCTGACCAGTTCTGAAGAACCGGTAGCAGAAATTTTGAGTCGTTCGGAGAACCAGTGGTGGAAATTTTGAGTAATTCAGAATACCACCTTCTGACTTGCCCCGCCCCTATCTATTCTCCACCTCCTGAGTCCCAGCTGATTGGCTGGATCTTCTTTCGTTTCCCTGCATAGGAGAACGGAGCTGGAAAGCAGGTTAGCGGAGCTGGAAAGCAGGTTAGCGGGTGGGGAGGGAATGGAAATTTTATAGTATCCTTCCCCTGCCATGCCCACCAAGCCATGTCACGCACACCAAGCCACGCCCTCAGAACCAGTAGTAAAAAAAAAATTGAATCCCACCACTGTTCTACGCCGCTTATCCCCAAATGTGAGGTTTTTAGCTTAGAAAACCAAAGACAACCAATTCCTTTCACAAGGAATTGAACAAGGCTCTAATAAGGGATGAACTTGTAACTTCCAATAGCCGCTTGATAATGAAAGAAATATTGATTTTCCTACAACAGAAAAGCATCAATGCAAAATGCAATGTGAACGTGAACTGGATGAACAATAGTATGACTTGAATTGGAGGTGATGTAAAAGAAGTAGAATGCAGACCTTATAAAAAAAAATCAGCAAAGCTGCCAAGCAAGAATTGTTTGCTAGGCAAATACCAATGAAAACAGAAATTGCTTGCACTATATTGTTCAAGTTCACGAATAATATAACAGGTTATGTTTGCAACAGAGTTATTTATAATGAACTATGCCGTGTTACTGTCCCACATTTTAAACACTACAAGGAAGCGTGTTCTTCCTAAAAATGTCTCGCTACTTCTATTTAGATTCAATTAAAAAACAACAACAATGTCACTTTATGCTTAATAGGCATAAAGTAAGCCCTAGCTTGATTTTTTTACACATGCCCAATATAAGCCCTACCTCCCAAAATAAGCCCTAATTAAGATCCCACCCACTCCAGAGTACAGGTAAAAATTAAGCTAAGGTGGAGATGGGTGTATGTGTGCGTGTGTGTAGCTGCTCTCTACTTACCTTTGGACAGTTGTAGCCAGGCCTCACACACCCCAACACCTGCCTTGCCAGCCCATTTCTTTTGAAGCCAACAAGTCTGGCAAGATTTTCCTGAAGGCTTCTGTAGCTGATCACAAAGCTCTGGATCGATCCTGAGCTCTGTTATCAGCTGCAGAGGCCTTCAGAAAAATCTACCTGGCTGCAGAAGAAGTTCCTGAAGGCCTCTTGACAGCGAAAAGGAAGCTGGGGCCGAAGTGAGGTTGGTCAGTGGAGGACATCCCCCAAAATAAGACCTTGATGTATATGTATATATATGTGGATCTTTGGTTATTCAGGTTTTCTCCCGCGTAAGATTGGAGGTATCTAGGCAACGTTTCGATGAAGTCTCATTCATCATCTTCAGGCTTGTGTCTTTGGCTCTGTACTTCTCAGAGTGATGTGAGCTTGCAGCTGCTTCTTCCTTTTAACTGCTAGTGGGGGTGTGACTTGATTGGGTGGGAGCTTGGCTGTGTTCTGATTGGGTGGGGGTGTGTTCTCATTAGTAGAGGGTTTGGCTGTGTTCTGCCAAGCCCCCACCCAATCAAGTCACACCCCCACTAGCAGTTAAAAGGAAGAAGC